CTAAGGACATCATTAAGAGTAACTTATAAGTAACTAGAAATGCAACACGAACTTTAGTGAATCCTGCACTCGACAATTCCGAAGTTGGAAGTTGCTGACACTCATTGAGTATTCATCGAAACGTCATCTGCTCGTCGGCTTTACATAAAATGAAGTTAACAATACCGACGAAGCTCGTTGAATTAGGGTACAAGTATTTGTTAAAGAAAACCAGCTGCTTGGTGTGAAGTTCACACGATACTTCCCGTTGGAAAAATCTATCTGCCCACTTAGTTTTGTCAACCTCTTAAAAAAAATTTCTATCTTCGTTTGAACGTTTCCACAGGAAAAAACTCTGGCTTAGAAACTATGTACGTAAAGTGAAGCGCAGATGTGCGTGTGTCATCACTGTATACACAGTATGCCTTGGTCTCTTTGAAAGTGCCAAAACTCAGGTATAATTATACATTTGTACGATAGCTCGTGGCTGGCTTGCCGAGTTAATCCAATGCCAAAGTAAAACACAATAACGAGAACACATATTCTCACGGCCCATTTAACCAGTTAGTGCGTGGCCAACAACGAAGACGAATTTGTTTTACTGTGAGATCGTGATTTTCCATTGTCGAGAGAATTCTTGCCTTTTCGCTCGAAAGAATTATTTTTTAATTTAAAAGCACACAATAAAAATTGGTGTTAAATTTACACGTATCGGATACGCGTACTCGATGGATGATCTACTTTCTGTGGGAGGGATCGATCGTTTCTATTCAAAGCATATTGCATAAAGTGAATGTAGGAATGCAGTCTATAGGGATGAACAATGCGTGCATGATAATGCTCAAGCTTGCAGTTTCAGATAGTTTTTTTAGAGTCACCAAAGATTGCAAGAAAATTGCTAAGTTTTAAGAGCTAATTCAGTTATCAAAGTCGAATGGTGGGTTGTAACTAGAAACATTTTTTTTAATTGAACAGGTAAACATCATTTAATTTGGCTTCTAAGAATTGTTATTTTAATCAAAGCTCGTATCATTGTTTAAACCAAAATCCAATCTACAATTTTAACTGTTGACAGTTGATTAACGAGATACAGCGCAGATATTTTCATCAGTTATTAACGACATCAAACATCATAACGACATAAAAAAAGAAAAAATTTAATGACACTACTCGAAGGTCAAGTTACGCACATCCTTTGGTAATCAATGAATATTGAATAATCTTACTTTCTTTGCTATTTTTTAAATTGGAGTAGCTATTGTAACTTTAAATCGCTCGTCAGCATGTAAAAGGTTAACTAAGCCACGTGTATGTTAAAGTTATATCGTACAAGAAAATTTGTAGAATATTTAGCAAAGACTACGGGCAAATACTAGTAATGATCTGGGGGTCTTTGACCTGTGACTTTTTTGTACAAGATTAGCGAAATAAAATAAGTTTCCCGTCAGTCAAACTCCAAAAAAAAAGGAAGAAAAAATTAAAACGCATGAAAAACACACTTGAGGGTGATGCTTTTTCGTTGGAACTATAAGCCGCAATTATCACCGTTATGTCAATTTATTATCATACCATATTGTTAACATATTGTTAACGCCAGGATTATATAATGCATGTGTTGATACCTCATCGAAAATCTCAGCAAAATTAATTTTAAGGGTGCTAATTATATTTGCAGGGGTTCTATTATATTTAACCAAGTTTCAATCATTAATTAGAGTGCCCGATAAATAAGCACCTCATGTAAGGAACGCCTTACGTGCACTTTGGAATCAATTTTACGCGCAATCGCTTTAACTTCTACCTCTGCTGGTGCTTTTTTCTTCCTCGCGTATTTTTAATTACTTTCATGGTCAAGCAGGAAAGCTACGACACCGTGCAGTCACGACACTGTAATTTGACTAGCAGTTTGAGTTACACATGGTAAAGAGAGTAAGTAGCCTTTAAATTTTTGTCACAATGCTCTAGGTATACTAAAAGTGATGAGTTTATCACCTCGCACATGTTTTTACATTAAGTAGATTTTAGCTACCCGCACGTCTTTTTATTTTATTTTAACATATTTTCCTTTTACCTTATAATGGTGTCCATATTTCACTTACATCTACCTATACAAGCATGCACATGCAATGAAAACATTTTTGTATTTAGGTTATTGTTTTTTACCTGTGAAAAGCCTTTTCTCTACCTCAATTGTTTTTTTTTTTTTTTTTTTACTTGTACGAAATAAAAAAAATCTGTACGTGATTTTACAGTTTGTGAAAAGATAACAAAAAATGATCGCTTTCTCAGCTTTTGTACTCCACATTATCCTACAAACGCGAACGTAAATATTTGGCATTGTTCGCACGCACCGACACGTCAGAGCTCGAGCTCCCATACCCTCACCTTAAATTATATAATCGATAAACATCTGGCAGTATCGACGCTTAAAGTCACGTCATAACCATTATGAGGCAATGATACCTCCCTCATTTTTTCGACTCACCAAGGTTCGTACGTCGAATAACCCCCTAGTGGGTGACAGCAATAAAGCGACCCTCACCAGATCACCACGTTATTTTTGCCTCCCTTTTGTCCAACAGCTTTCGATGACGTAATGATGAGTTAGATTAGCCCAAGTCCATGCTTGTGCTGTATCGCCTACTTCCATATTCGTTATATCTTACACTAGTTCAGTTTGGATGATGCGTATTATGCACCTCAGTGGTACGTGCCCATGTTTCTTGGCGTGAAAAGGAAGGGACAAAATCTCTCGGTTCGTAATAGCCAAAAAAATAATGAGAAACAGATCGATGGGTTTTGTTTTGCGCCATATTTACTGACAAAGTAGCCTGAACGATGAGTTATCGGTGGTAATCATCCCTAAGTATTGGATGAGGAAGAGGAAGTAGCGAGAATAAACTCTCGAGTGAAAGTTATACAAGACGATTTTGGCCTAGATTAGAACAGCCATGCACAAGCAATATTGACTCGCGAGCTATATGATCACATGAATAAATTACCCCAGCACGCTGTTTAATTATCGACGACATCGACGTTAAAGCTGTTTTTTTCAAAAGATCGCGTTTAACTACTGATCCATGAAATTGTTTTGCTTGTTTAAGGGAGGGGTATTTTTGAGGAAGTGCAACGGGTGTGTGTAGTAATACTTCGGACTTGTTTATTAATTCATGCTGTTTTTATTACAGATTAACATTGTAATTTATTTGTAATTTCATTAAAAATTTGATATCATTAATTTTAATTTGGTTACCATCCATAAGGAAACTTCATTATCTTGCGTAATCGGATGTGTCCATTTTTAACAAAAAAAAAAAATAAATAAATAAATAAAAATAAATAAATAAAAACAGATTCAGTCAGTTTCAAGACTAATCACCTGCTAGCACTTGAATCGTCAATTTCAAAAATAATTTAGATCGAAATGAGTTTTATATCCATTTTTTCCTTGTATTATTATACGATTTATGATCCACGATGCGCCTTGGTCAAAGGTTTCGCGAAAAAAAGTAGTCACAAAAAATCTTATGTTACGCACGAAAAAAAGCACCACTTGGATGTTAATATTTTTTCCATCATTTACATCTCACCTGCAAGACATACCTAAGCTTTTTTTTTACTCCTGTAATCACGAATCAGTAGATTTTAAAATCGTTGTTTGCGAGAATACGTTTTTCGATCCTACACTATACTCGATACAAATAGTACGCGGGTACAGTTTGCTCAATATCCTGCCCGGGAACAGCTCAAATTCACTCATTCTGATAGAGTGAATTTTAATCCCTTTAATCTTTAATGACATTACAATTTTTTTCAAGTATCATTGTAAATCAGGTATAGAGGACTATAAGGCTTCACTGATCTCTGATCTCTGAGGTAGGATTAGTTACGCAGATATATTTTTGTTGGTAAGATGTGGCAGAAATCTTTGCGCCAAGTAGGGTAGGCAAATCAAATTGTTATCTCTTAGTTAAGCGTGTCTAAGAGTTTTTTTTTGTCTACTGATACAAGGCCTTTAACACCCCTTTTCAAGTCATGTTCTTGGTCACGCACATTGCATGGTGTTATATTTCTAATCAAAGCGTCCTAATACTACTCCTGCCAACCACTTGAAATAAATCATTGGAGCTGGTCTAGTTATTTCTATATTTTTCGGAGCTCTTTGCATTAAATAGAAAAAGTATTAGCGACAAAATGAACTTGGACAGTGATCCTGTCATTAATTATGGTAGTTTTCTTCTGAAATTTAAAAGAGGCAGCGGTCTAGGCCTTGTGCTTTGAGGATTTAATTACTAGACCAAATTTTAATTACTAGAACCATAAAGGTGTTTAAATAAAAAATTTAACTCTCAGTTTACTCATAGTTAATGATGTAACTATCTGTTTACAGCACTATTATTGGTTTGTAAGTAGATTAAACAGCGTGAAGGATATTACTCCACAGTTTGCATTTTGTAGAAATGCATTTGCAACAGTTACAGATGCATGGAATGAGTTTGCTTGATTAAACCTCAGAGATCGCATCGGTACGAGTTGCGCTTGGTCCCATGTGTGTGGGTGGTCATTTCGAGCAAGTTCGGAGGTACGTTCGAAATTGCAGACGCTAATCACGGCTATGATTATAACGCAGGAGATGAGGCGTGCGAGAGCTTATTTTTAATCTGATCTTTGAATTGAAAGATCTGACGAGAAAAAGAAAAAAAAGTTTTGTTATTTTGGTGTACACTTCCGACACGAGCAACTAACAGAAAACATATTTTTTCTTCAACCATTAAGCCCCATGATAACACGAGCTCGAAATCACGCAAATCTTTACCAAATTTTGTTTATAAATTATGTTTGATTCTCTTCTGAAAAAATGAAAAAGTGAACCTAGCAAAAAATGATTGCACCTTCCCCGGACGACTCAAACTACACTCAGCAACAGTCTGATGGAAAAAAATGATCCCCACAGATACTTGCACGAAAACTTTCAATCACGTGCCGTGTGCGCCCGAAAAGCAAGCCCCGTCAGCCCTTACCAAGCATTTTGAGCACCCTCCTGGTAGACTTGCAATGATACTGCCTGCAGTGCTTATCCATCCTTGAGCTGCCGACTTTAACCCTCAAGCTGGCTGAATGCTTCGGCACTGGGGCCTGTTTTTTCCGCTCTTTCACGATCGTGGTGGCCTTGAGCTTTATGCCGATCATAACGTACAGCACCAACAACACGAGAAACGGCACCACGAAAAAAACGACGCTCGCCACCACAAACGAGTTCTCAAACATGACTTCCTTGAGCGAACAAATGAACAGCTTCGGGTCGTAGGGCAGGGGCACCAGGCCGAACTGTATGGCCTGGGGCACGGCGCACAACAACGCAACCAGCCAGATGAAGAGTATCAGCTTGATGGCGCGCGAGAGCTTCGACATCGTCTGGGAGAGAAAGGGGTGGCAGATTGCCACGTACCGCTCGGCCGTGAAAGCCGTGATCGTGAGCACCGACGCGTTGGCCGAGGTCTCGGCGGCCAGGCCTCGCAGGACGCAAAAGGCCTCGCCAAATATGTAGGGGTACTTGTACCAGACCTGGTATATCTCGACCGGCATGCCGAGGACGAGAAGCAGGAGGTCCGAGACCGCGAGACTGAACAGGTAGTAGTTGGTCGCCGTGTGCATCGACTTGTTGCGAGCTATCACGATGCACGTGCTCACGTTCCCTATGATGCCCGTCACAAATATCAACGCGTAGATTATACTGATCGGCACTACGACGTACAAGGGATCGCGGACCGGCTCGGCCATCCACGCGTACTGGTGCAGCAGTGCCTCGTCGTCGTTCGAGTACCACGACTTGGACTCGTTGTCCAGACTCGCAGTCGTCGACCACATCGTTGACTCGTACTCTGAGCTACCATTTTTACCGCGGCTACTCGAGTTGGCCGAGTTGTTCAGGGACAGCAGCAGCAATTCGTAAGAGCCATCCATGGCAGATCGGTGAGGGCGTTTCAACTTTCACGCGATCGCTGGAAGCTCCGGTCGGCCGACACTCATCCTTCGACTACGCACACTTTGCTCGCATTCGCGTTATTGTAAGCACACGGACACACGCTCGCACGACCATGCGATCGGCGTGCGGTAACACTCGCGTGACTCGTGGTAACTTTGTCGTTTCTTCTTCTCGATTTGTCTTTTGTAATTTTTTTTATTGTGTATCTACACCACAGTAGCCAAGACAATCGACTGGCTGTCGTCGTCGTCCCTTGGCAGTGGATTTTCACACCGATTCAACGCACCATCAAGCGCTCCCAAACGCAAGCTCTCGCACGGGGTGAGATACCGGTATGTGATCAACACCAACAACCGACGCACCGGTCAGTAGCATATACATCCCTTGTGATCGAAAAACCATTGAAACACGGGCCTTTTGTTTTCACAACTTTTCACATTTGAAGAGACGAAAAATCGACACAAACGAACGATCGGCCGACTAAGGGACGTTTGCTCGAGAATCTTGAGACAAAGCCGAGCCAACGGGAGGAGGAACGAGTCGAAAGTGCGCCGGTCAAACTTGAACTTGAAAGTCTCTCCGCGTTCCTGCAAAACCTTGTGACTATGTACAGCCAAAAAGAGAGTCCGTCAAGTTTGGGATGCGCGCGCGCGTGGTCTCGGTTACCGCTACCGACGACGACTGAGCCATAGGTGCTGATAAGGTCGCCGCGACGCCACATCGCAAACGACGCAGACGCAGAGAGCGAGCAAACGGGCCTGTGTGTGGGTGTTGCGGGTGGGCTTTTTGGACTTTGCACATCGCTGGTCACGGATGAGTATATCCATGGGCATGTCACACATCGTAGGGAACTCGTGAGGAGTACGTCAAGGGATGCGGAGAACAGTTCGAGCATGCCTTTACGTTTTTATACGCTACCGTGGTTCTCTTTTATTTTGCAATAGCAGATGATACGATTGTGACTTTTTCCTTCTGAAAACGTAAGTTGAATGGGTTGAATTGGGATCCAAATTCCAGGCGAGTATTGATTTCAAATTTTATTTACGTTTCCTGATGCAGACTCGACGATTGGAGGTGTAATCGAATTTGACTAATGTTGAATGACATGCATTTCGATGGTACCCATTGAATCTGAAGTTTAAGTAAAAACCAGTCTTGATCGATTTTAAATCGGCCCTTTTAGTTTGTCAGTTCCTCGTTTGCGGAATGGTTTTGTAAGTCGGATTTTTCCTGTGGTTTTTCTGAGGTGGCAATCCTTGTGAGAAAAGTAACGAAAGTTTTGAAGAAAAAAATTTCATTGAATACTTAATCATAGTAGAATAGAACTTTTAGATATCTCATTCATATGTGAGTTTCGAAAAGCTTTTAAGTATCGTAGTTAAGCCTGAGTGACTAAAAAAATTGGAATTAATTAAATTAATTTCTAATCATTTCATAACAATGTAACGAATAGCTGTAAATCAGATGAATGTCGGCAAACTTTTTTTCCTTAATTAACGAGATACGTTTAATATAAGGATGCCATAATATCGGAGATTATTCAAAATTATATTGGAACTTGTTACATCATCACTAGTGACGTTTCACATTTACCACTGTATCATGTTTATTTTTGTAATACGATTTGTACACATATCTAAATAAGCAGGAATACTGAAATACTTGCTTAGTGTTGAAATAGTACCTGCAAACATTTTCATGAAAAATATAACCGTGTAAAAAACGTTTAAAACCTTACACTTTTGACTGGTGATACATTATTGGACCATAGAAATAATCTTTAAAGGTATCGTTAATTGTTATTGATTTCAAACGCAGGAAGAGAACTTTTACAAGTAGAGAAATAGTAGTTTTCCTACGAGTTTGAAAAGTCTCTGTTTGCGAACCGAGAGGTTTGCGGCCCGAGACGAAGGCGAGGGACGTAACGAGGTTCGTAAAGGAGACTTTTCGAACGAGTTCCGGAAAACTGCTTTTTCGCCCGAGGAAGTACCAGCCTCCCAAAACCACCCGAGGTCGGAAAAATAATTTTATGTAAACAGATAATTCATAATTAAATTTTAAAAAATGCGAATTAAAATCAATTTAATTTATTCATTAATTATAATGTTTTTTTCTTTCAATTATTGTACATCTCATGTTCTGAAATTGTCTTATATAAGCACTGTATTCAAGATGAATGAAATTAGCTTTGTAATTAATTCGTTTCCTTGAAATTGCCAATTTATGTTGACTTTAGAATGAAAAATGATTTGAGTGTCGAAATACACTGTTGATCTTAAAAAACATTCTCCTTCTAAATGAGTATTTTTCAAACCAATAAAAAATTAATCGTTAATTTTCAAAACCTGAAAGTTTTATCATTAATCTTATGTTAATTTTACTGGTAGTGGTTGAAAAAATACAGGGGAATGTGACTTATTTTTGAATAGTTTATTGATTGAATAGTCATCCTATGATAAAGATTTATGTCAAAGATTTTATTATCAAACAATACTTGTTTTTGATTTCATTTTCATTAATTTTTCATTACAACGTCAGAGAAGATTGATCTTATGACAAGTATTGTACGTTCTTTTAATTTTATTGAAGATGCCGATACGTCATACTCAATGGTAACATGAAAAATTATACTTTTTTTGAAATTTTCATTTTATTGTACTTATAAAATATTGATTAAAATCTGGTGATAAAATATTAGAAGTAGATGTTAATTATCGAGATGTATCCAAAGTATCGAGGGTTTCAGTTATTATCTACCTGCTCATAAGTAAATTTTGCAGATTTTTTTACATGATAAAGTACTCTATGTCTCGATATATTTGTAAAGATATGCTTAATAACGACACTAACTTCATTTATACAATTATAACTCAGGCCCTCCATAATAGGTACAGTGCTTGAAAAGTGGCTCATCTATCCTACTTGGCAACACTAAATTTTTATTTCTTAAAATAAAATTCTTTCTACAAATAAGTTTCTGCACTAACGACAGTGATACAGGTTTTATTTATCAGCATAAAATTTTCTGAGTACTGATTTTCTGAATTTAGAACAACTGGTATGAAAATTGGTTTTTTCGTGCACAGGAGGGCTCAATCATCTACTGAGATTCTAATTCACAGCACTATCCCAGCTGAAAGTATAGTATTAAATATTAAATTAGAAGAAGGAACCAAAATACCTTCTGTTCAAAACACTTTGCTCCATACAAAGTACTCTTTTTTCATTTCCCAAGCAGAAAGGAAATGTTAAAAGTGTCTCTGCCTGATGGTTAATACTTCACAAATGAACAGCTAGATAAAGTTAGATAATACATCGTTTTCATTAGTACAACTAAGAAGAAAAAAGCTCTCGTTCGATTTTTTTCATAGCCCTGTCACTTTGCAGTAATAACTTTAATTATTAGTATCGGTAACAGCATTAAATGCCTTTTCTTAGTTTAACGTTGTACGTGATCGAAGATTATCGGAAGAAGAGATAGTCAAGGCCACTATACGTATCAGAGTGCAGAAAGAATACAACGACAATAGTTGGAAGACAAGCGCCACTTGTACATGTCTTTCGCAAGACGTGAGGCATTTTCTCTTATTGAACTTAGACTTGACACTTTTGACCATTTAAACTTGATTCCTCGTCATGAATTATCGCTTTCAACATTAATTCCTACGCATTAGCCATATCAACTAGTAACGAGGTTGTAAATATAAAAGAGAGAAATTGATTATATTAGCCGTGACTATAAATACAAATTTATGATCTTTTATTTTATTTTATTTTGTTTCTTCACTTTTTTGACACCCTCGTTACACGTTTCACAAAATTAATATCCAATCAAGTTACTCCTTCATTGAATCAACGTTGGGGAAAAAAAAATTTCACATTTACAACCTATGTTAATACGATTAATTTGAGGATTCCATATTATTTTTGACCATTTCATTATAATATCAAGTTATATAGAACCCACCAAGTTTTACAATGTGTTATTTGAAAACCGTTTGATTGAGAATTAAATTTTAGCAAAGTAACGTGTACGTAAATGTAAATAAAATACACATATAAATAAAAGCTTAGAAAAAAGGTCGAATATTGTTTTTCATGTAAAAATGTATCATCTATAGTTTTCATGGCAATCGAATAAAAAGAGGATTTCATACTAAATTATATTTGTGGTAATAATAATAAGAGAGTTTACATTCCTTTATGTAATCTGTGATTTTCTAAATATTTTTAAAAACAAAATCTTTGCAGTGCACTAAGAACGTTACAGTAATGATATTGACGTAAATAAATAATATTATTACCACACAATAACCTAACTTCCTTGCATAAGTTGAAAGAATTAATAGAGCCCTACATTGTTACGTGCCCGTACGATAAATGCAAATTTTCTGGATACTATCTTATTTATTCATTCATTCATTTTACAAGTTTTTTTTAGCTGTGCATAAATAATACAGTTGACGAATCAATATGTCGTTATTTGCTCGTAAAACCAACGTTTTTCTAATGTGATGATAAAAAAACTGTAAAATAGTCACCATCAATGAAAATAAATGAATGATTACGCGAATGACCAATAAATCATATGTGCTACTATCTGGAATCAATTATTTGCAACCCGCAAAAAATATTCTAATAACGCATCGTATAAAATAGGCTCACATGGTTTAATTTTATTTTTATTTTGATAATGATGAATTTAAAAAAAATGAGTTGCTCACATCAATTTTTGTCTTTCAATATCACGCAAATAAAAATGTATGTAAGATCTCGTAAAAGTTCGGGAGGTGAACTATTAGACTTACGTAAAACATGATTGTTGGACACCTTCAATTTCTAACATGTCATTTGTTGTACCAATAATTTTATCTTTGACAATGTTGGAAAAATTCAAGCAGAGCTGCTCGCGTACTTTAGCCGCAAAGAGAAAAACAACTATTTCCAAAAAATTTTCGATACTGACTACACGTCTTCCAGTCCCTTTTTGATGCACAATGAATTTGTCATCTAGTCACACACGGTATTGTTCTCGTATGTACGTCATAAAAATCGCCCTTGTCATACAGAAATTAATTCAAGAATGATATGATGAATACGTGCATAGAATACACGATTTTTCGCCATTTGTGGTATACCCATCAGTGCATACTGCGTAAAGTGAGGAATAAAAACTTAGATTGAACTATAATCTGTGGATGTATTAGCTAACGTAGAATGAAATGAATAATGTGATTTAACATCGATCAACTTTTGTACACGTGACCCGAGGTGTCGTATATTTTGTCGGTGATTTTTTTTCAATCAACGTGATGAAACATCGTATAGAACGTTGTTTTTTATACAAATTAATCCCTCTTTATTATTTAAAAGTTTACAAAATATAAATCCATTTTTCTTTTTGAAAAAATTGTCCTAAAACAGCGAAATAACAATAAAAAAAATTTCACACTAAAATTGATTTTTATTCTTTATTTATGTAGCTAATCATACAATTATTGGAGTAAGTGCTAAGATTGAAAAAGAAAAGATACATTACAAATTTATTGTTTTCTTTATATTAATTATATTTGTTTCCTCTGGACAATAACTGTTAATATTAACAATCCTAAAAATGTATTGTTATCACATTGTAATTAAAGAAAAAGTAAAAATAGCAGCATGACCTGCTGCTGTTGTTTCGTAAAAATTTGCAGTCAACATGAAAATTTTCCGTGTCTCATTAAGTAAGAGAAAAATCGTTTAAATTTGAAAAAGGCTGGCCAACCGTGCTGCCCACAAAAGCTAATAACGAAACAAAGAAAGACAAAGCCGAACATAATATATAACGATCGCTTTGCATAACGAAAACAGTAGCAGTGGCTACTTTGGGATCATTTACTCTTAATTTTTGGAGCCAACAAGTTTGTCGAGTCTGAACACAACCGGCCATGAAAGCCAGCTGGCTTTGGATTTTTTTTTTTTATTCATACGCAGAAGATTTTTTTCGTTGATGCAGCTAATGAGAATTTCAAATTAGCTTTCATAAAAAATTTTTTTTTTTAAAGTCTTTTTTTGATTAAGTAATGAAGTAGGGGGACTTGTTTATCGGTGAAGAAGAATTTTCTGAAACATAGCTCTATTTTAACATATTACAGATATTTGCGATTATTTATATGAATTTTTTCAACTATTTATAGTTTTTACTTATCTTATTTTTGTGTCCGTTTGTAGCTGCATTAATTACATGTTGTGGTCTATTTTTAACCTACTTCTAGGTAAGCTTAAGGTTTTTTTTTTAGGAATGATTGCTATAGATAACAATGCAAAGCAAGTGTACTGAATTTAATATTTTAATCCATTCTTGCAAATTAAAAATTTAAAGACGAGGTTAGGTGACCCAAGTCTTACGCGAATCAATGCCTTGTCTTACCTTACTCGACTTTCTACTTAATTTTGCAGACGATCTTGGATTACAAGTTAATTTATAAGTACTGTATATCATTTCGTTTTTTAATAAACCAGAGTAATTATTCAAAAGTCTTTTTTTTCTAAATTTTTTTTTTAATTTTCGCGTTTTTCGTTATATTTGAAACACCGACTTATTTTTTATTTAAACGTATCAAATAAAATAAAAATGGAAATATATTTAAGAAACTGTTTAATGCGAAAGATTATACCATAAATTAAAAAGTAAACTGTAAAAAGAGCTTCAACAAAAAGAGACATTACATGTTACATTAAAAAAATAAATACGTCTAAAAAACTTTTGTTTGTAATGCTTGTCATTATTACTATATAGACAACTTGTAAAAATTCAAGAGTAGTTCGTGGTTGAGGTTATAAAAGTTAAGAAACTTAAAGGCTTATTTCAAGCAGTACGAATGACTATGTCCATGAATTTATTTTTTTTAAAGTAATCCATTGCCAAGAAAAAAACTGGTAATAATGGAAGGGACTTACTAATGGTAAAATTTTTGGGTTTAAGTCATCGATTTTACTAAATGAATTCCATGAAAAATAAGCTTTATAAAAAGTACATCCATTTTTCCATTATATTACAAACCCGTCACTCAAGACGAACATCGCTTTTCATTTCTAGCATCGCGGAATTTTCGAGACAGTTCAACCCACGTTCTTTGCATGTATACAATATACTTAAATCCTGGCTGTCTACTTTTTTTACCTTTCGTCCCCGGTAAAGTTTTTTTATTTTTCTCTCCAAATCTTGTAAAAATATCTGTTTACTCGTCGAATGGTAGGAAAAGCTCCGTACACTTTTTATCACGGGAATTTAATTTTTTTTAGAAATTATGCGCTCAAGGAGTATAGAAAAATATGGAAAGCCATGCACTTTAGCTATTTTTGACTTGGTTTTTTGCTGTACATACGCTTCGCAAGATTGTCTTTTTCATTCTCCAGCTGATTGTAAACGTGCATTTTTTAGCTCAACTTTCTTTTAAAAAAGTACGTTTTAAGTGGATATATCTTCCACATAGTTGGCAGGGTAAAACGAAAGTATGATAAAAAAACAGCGAAAAGACGAACAAATTTCAAGTATGAAATTTATGAAAAATATGAAGACACATGTAGAAAAAGTTAATCCATACATACTTACACGTTAGAAAGCCGAATAGTATTCCACGAAAGTTGGTATGTTGCATTATGTTAATGAAAAAAAAAATAAAACTTACATTCTAATGAAACATTATTTTGATGAAGAATAAAATTAAAGTGTAAATGATACAGTCTGAAGTGCTTTTAATAAGTTATTTTTTTGATGTTGCAACACCTAACAATACTGTCATTTGAATAACGGCATGGCTTCATTGTATACCAATGGTTCCCAGCATGTGGGGTTACTTTTTGACGAGGAGTGAAATCGTGCGAATTGGTGACGAGAGCATAGCTTGAATATTCCCACTTCGCAACGAAGATAACAGTACTATGTGGATACTCTATGCATCCACAGATGAATTACGTTAACTTTGTTTCCACATTAAGTTTGAAAAATAAGAATATCTTATTGACTTAATATTTTATTGACTTAATATTGTAGTATCAAAATTATACATTATAAAAATAATTGAAGGTGTAAAGTAAAACCAAAAAAAATTTTCATTTGTTTTTTATTGTCTTTAGCTTCAAGCAGTTGTAACGTGATCTAATTGCGTGAGTACAAAAACATGGTATTGGCTTATATTTTTTGTAATAAAAATGAAAATACTTATTTCATAATTTTTTGGTCGATTACACGGATCTTGAGTAAACAGTTTCCTGTAACATCTACAAAAAAAGTCACTGGAAGTTGTAGCTTTATTGATTTGAGTATGACAAATCATCAAAAAATGTAAAACTATTTATTTTAAACCACACATTCTTACTATATTTAATATAGCCTGAGAAAAAAATACCTTATAATAAATAAGCTTACTTGCAATTTTTACTGTAAACGATTCAGTCACTCTTAAATGTACAAAATATCAGTCACTCTCAAAAGTACGTACAACAGAACTTTCACGTGCAAAAGATGCATATGTATTTTTGGTCTTTAGGCAATGTATTTGATTGGTGTCAAGTTGCGGCTAGAGTTAGACATAATAAGCTTTTTATTCGTTTCAAGTTGCATGAGCGATGTTTTCTATAAGAATGAATCAAGATTGTTATTGTTTACGTGTAGGTATAAAAATCTGATTTTTTGAGTTAACCGTTGAAATTGATTGGTAGAATATTAGCGGTCGTTGAAGAAAGTAAGATATCGTAAAATATAAAGTATTTACGATAAATAATACACTTAACATCACTTTTTGCTTATTTGAGCTGAGATTACGTGATAACAAAGCAATTACAATATAAAGAAAGCTGAGTATTGATTGATTGATTGTTTGTAAATAAAAGTATTTTGTATGTTATTAGGAGTATTACTCATAGTGTCAAACCCCTTAGTATAGATCAGGTATAGAAAAGTGGGTAATTATTTTTAGCAAAAAATCAGTCACAGTTTGATTCTTTGTTATTAGCAGCCTAGATCCTAGTACCTAAAAATCATACGAGAAAACTTTCGCCCTGATTGGTGGATGATATAAATTATACATCCGCCAATTGGGACAAAACTTTTCTCACATGATAAAAGTTGTAATCATTTTATTATTTTCTCAAAAGTACAAACTTTGCGACTATTAGTTTTGGTAAAAAAATAAAATTACTTGTTCATCCACATTATCCACACAAAACTGGTCTTGTGTAGACGATATCGGACGATTGGGTCACATTATGTATGAATACGTATCACTCGATCAATAGCAACTATTAACATATCCTGACCTATTGAATTATTATAGATCATCGGTTCAAACTGTTAGAGTCTCTGGCTTGAATCCAACTTGTTGATCGCAGTTTATTTGTGGCACCTCACCGAGACGAATTTCGTACAATCTAAACTAGCAAGGGTTCACATTTATCGTTTGGTAATAACATCGCCACCTTTACACATCATATGACAAAAGTATTCTTATATTTTTAGCCACAAGGGCTACGTCAAGCACTCGAGCGTTCAATAATTTATCTGAGGCGTTTTCACCTGAAACATATATGAAGCACAAAACATTGAGTATCAGCATAGTGAAAAAAAATTTACACTTGTGTGGATTAATAAATCACCTGAAAGTGGTTTGTAACGCCTTGATATGGGTAGATTCCACCAAGAATGTAGCGATAGTAGCCATTATGCCGTATCCGATATTCTCCCGGCAGCACAGTATCTGGTATCTCCCATGAAACGATTACTTGACTAGAACCAAGGAGCATCGATGTTCTTTCCCACATGAATCTTTAAAAAATCGGAAACAACCATTTTCATTAACCCCTTGTAGATCAGCCAAGCCATGTTTTTTTGTACAATCAAAGTTTGTAATTAAATCCAAAAAATGGTCATACTTGGTCTCCCAATCCGCATCTGTGGCTACAGGAGTCCAAATCTCATCCTCTTCCAACCTTTCGACCGTCAAAAAGGTATTTCCAGTCATTAGATTATTCCTCGGATGACCGGAAATCTTTGAAAGAAAAATCAAATCATTCCATTAGTATTTTCTACAATATACATGAAAATGGTTTTATCTACAATCACTTTTATTTAAGGCTTGATTTTCTATAAAAAAATTACCATTATCTTATACATTTTTCCATCGACAACTTTCAGCAAAGTAAGGATTGAATGAACTCGACCAAACAAAGGGATAGCACAGACTGCAAATCATCACGTATCTTAATCATCCAATGTGTCCACGTGATTCAAAGAAGGTTTAAAAAAAGCTTGTTTATTTTTTCTCTCGAACAATCACGGGGGAAAAAAAAGTGCTACGATGGAGGTCACGGCCAATCGAGCACGAAGCCCGTGTGTCATCGCCTATCGTGTATACACGACGCCAAAACAAAATGGTCCATGCGGCCGGGTGATAAAACGTGGGACTCAATCGCGCTTGCAACGCCGTGCAATGTGCAATCTTCGAACACACATCCGGCTAGTGTTAACGATACACGGCAGCAAACGGGAAACACGTAATCCGTACGTGTCTGCGCGTAATCCGCGCGTCCACGTACGAGAAGGATGGATGCCTCAATCTCTCTCGGAGTGGATGTGTATCACGGGCTCGATGGCTCGTGAAGAAACGAGATTGCCCGTCCGCGCTTTCACACACGCGTGTTTACGTAGTATATGGTATAGGCAAGCGAGGCCTCCGCGACTTGATGGAATTGCTCCAAAGCGTTGCGCAAGTACGTAGATGCACGCGTAACGAGGGCGTTTTTACATAAAATCCTTATACAATCGACATTATTACATGCACCGACTCCCGCGTCAGCCTCCTTCCTCCCCGTGCGCTCATATTTTGCTGCGTATATCATGTTATATGCTCAACTTGCGAGTGAGCGAGAGAGTTATGTTGCTGTCTTTGTAAATCTGGTAAGTATCATCACCTCTCGCTGTCCCACTGATTTTTTCCCTGTGTATTACGTGTACATAGCTTACTGAAAGAAAAAAAGGCGCTTGATAAGCAGTCGAGTTTTCCTGGGATGAAATTTTGACTATAGCCTTGTGGGAGCCGCACTTATTATTGCATTGTGGTGTCATAAGTACATGATGTTTGGGTGGATCATCTCACGGGGTTGAATCGACTCTGACTTTTCCCGAGAGTAAAATTTATATTTGCTACATGGAACTATTTTTTTGGTTAAAACTATGTGATTTTCCTATAATTACTGTTTTGATGCTGTTTAAAATATCAGCACGAATTTCCTTGAGTGTAAAACGTTGGATTGTAATCGTAATTTTACAACGAAGCAATTGGAGACAGCTTTACTTCTAATCAGTCACAACTTACGGTACACAATTAATTATATCTGAAAAAAATGGTGAAGCCGCATCAATCTTGATAAAACTATATTCCCCTCCTGACATTATTAGTTTCCTCATTAAAACGTATGTACTGTATTATTCGCAGTTGACACGCACGAGATTAAAAACGATTTGATCTTGTTGGATTCTAAAGTTCATTGCTCTGAATCACCTTAAAGTTGTATGGTTTCCAAATTTTTTGCGAGTAGGTACTTCAAAGTATTCAGCCCCTCGAAACAAAAAGTATTATTAAGTACTCACAAATCTGACAGTGACCACGCCACCAGGTCCATAGGTGCGCCTGGGCTGCTTGACGCAGTCACCGAATTCCTTCCCCCACTTGGGTGAATCGAAAAGCACAGGTGCCACCAAACTAATGAGCTGCTCCTTCGAAAGATCCACGGGCGTTGGCCCACTTTCTACCTTCTCGTTCTACAAAAGCCACAAAAACGGACGTAATTTATCATCATTCGTTGACTAAATATGTCTTCGTGAGGAATCAAAAACTTGATTGTCAAGAAGACTTACAAGTACCGCGTGCCTTGCAAGCTCGGCGTACTGTTTCAGGTAGATTGTCAGTGTGTGTGGTCCGTAAACCGTTGATGCGCCCTCGTATCTTTGAGCCTGTGGAGAGCAGATAGAAGAGGGGTGGGGAGGAGTTTACGTGGTATATTGGAATTATACTCGTCAAAGGGGATAGCTTGCCAGGATTAATTTTATTTTGAGAGACTTTATTTTTCCCGGCTGGCAATTTTTAGGGAGAGCTTGAATATAGGTTACGCTTTTGAATTTTTAATATCAAAGCTTTAGTGGAAAAAGCAATAGGCATGATGCTGAATATTTGACCAATGTGTTTTCAAAATGTGAAGAATGTCATGAAATCGAAAAAAATCGTACTTAGTTTTTTGTAGTTACAGTTCAAAGAAAATTTTTTATATCTGAATTCATAGGTATTACTTTCATTTACGTTTTTATATCTGGTCTGTACACGTGTGGCTAAGTAGACAAAAATGGGGGGGGGCTGGTTGACAATTTTATTGCCAGATGTTTCCTCAAAAAATAGACAGACATGAGAATAAGTTTGATAAAAGCTTACAAAGTTGCATTACTAAAAAATATACCCAGAAATTTCTTGTCTTGTTTTATCTGAAATCTCAAATTTTAATAGGTAGTTATTTTTTCTGCACATTACATTTAATCTGCTTCGTAATGCTTGCCTTTTTTCACTAAATCATCGATATCATCCTAAAGGCTCTTTAAATTTGATAACAAAATAGAGAATGTACGTTTTTAATATTAAATTACAAAAATTGTAATAGCATTAGTTATTCCCATTTGACTGAGTTTTTTGCATTTATGTGTTTTCTTAAAAGTTAAAAAAATATATATTTACCTGATACTCCTCGGGCGTGGTGATGTAATCGCTGTAGGTGTTGCAGAGCCCAGCAACGACAACCTCAGCCTCTCCAAAGGACTCGTCTGTTTCATCAATGGCCTTTTTTACTGCGTCGCGGAGACGCCTTCCTGACATCGTCGTAAACTCACCAGGAACGCCTGCCAACACTACGTTTCCCACCATAGCCAGCTGTGTCGACACTATCTTTGGCTGCCACTGGTACGGTTTTCTCATCTAGATATGCAAATTTTAATCTATCTTTTGCAACTTTAGAACTCGTAGTAAACGCAAATATTAAAAATGTTTTTTTTGGTATTTCACTAATGGCATTCATGTTAATTAATGTAAAATCGTTATTTAAGATAAAGATTACTGTGGGAATTACGGTGCTTCAAAAACTACTTCCGTTTTCACAAATCCCTCTTAGTCTAGGCCCTTTTGTTCATCAGGATTGCTTTTTAATAGTCTTATAAAAATTCCATATTTGGATGTATGATAAAATGATAGAGGGACATGGTCATCAAAGTTAGTATTACAAAACTCGTATGAATGTTGTTTTGAGTATCAAAATATGTCGACACGACGATACGTTGGGTGGAGGATGAGAGAAAAAAAAACTTGTCTCACCAGACTTATCCCCACTGGTCTAATTTCCATATATCTTGCTTTGTCAGAGCTAATACTTTTTACTACCTCACAGCCTGATTTGGGTACTACCGGGCTTTTTTTGCTTTGATTGAAAAATATTTTTATCACGGAGAAAATAATTTCAGTTATTTGTATACATAGCACTTGTTATTTTAATACGAATTTGAAAGAAATACAAAATCATATTTTACATTTAATTCTCTTTGGTGATCAAATTTTTTTTCTCTGCACATCATTTATCCTTCAGAAATAAACAACATAATTATCCATTTTATAAAAATTATAGTCAAGTAACAACTGATCGTTTGCTTTTTCAAATAGAGATAAAAAAAATCTATTAGTATAAAATCAGTAGTGAATAATACATTACGTATCAAAAAACCTACGAAAGCCGAATTTGAGTGAGGAATCGTAACAAACCAAGTATCTATGAAGCTGTCAATAATAACTCATAAGGGCTTTTTTGTCAATAAATCATAGTGACGATACACTTAGATTGAACTGAAATACAAGGTTACTCCAGTGCATCAAGAGACTACCGTAAAATACGACTCGTCCGCAATTTTTCTCAACATATCGCATAGTATAGGCGAGAAGGAGGTGGACGGGAGAGGGAAATTTGCATAGCCCAGTTTTCACAACAGCTTGGAGCGTGATGTGCCTTGGAAAATCTTCCAAACGCAAAGGAAAGGACGAATGGTTGCACACGCACGTACACACACAGAGAGTTGATGTAGGGCCCAGCATGGAGAACGCACGCTTTATTTGTAAGAGCAACTAATGAGCTCAACAAAAGAAAAATAGCATAAAGCTGGGGGAGACGGAGGAGGTGAAAACCGCAAGGGCGCACGCGTTCGCTGGACTTGCGCAAGTGGTGCGCACACAGCCACGTAATTCCGGTCTCTTTTCTTTATTGTTCGCTTGGTGCTGGCGTGCGAAAGTCACGCAGTCGCGACTCGAGAGAGAGAGAGAGAGAAAGAGAGAGAGAGAGAGAACGAGAGACAAAGAAGAAAAACAGACTAGGGTATAATTAACAATCACACCCTCGCTACCGAGCGAACCAGTGATTTCATATCGCTCGCTTTTTCAAGCACCCACACCTACATATTAAGTATATATTGCACATCTGTAATAGGTAGTGCACAGCTCGTTATGAAGCGCCTTTTATTTTATGTGTGCACACACACACACACACACACACACACACACACTTGCGCTTGGATCACTGGCTCACAGGCTCAATTCGATTTTCTACATGCACGCTTGTAACACAAGCTTGTTAAAGGGATTTTTCAATGGTACACAGATAGATGGATGGATGGATGGATCTTCCGAGAAATTTCAAGCAAACAATGGAAAATAGGAGATGGTATGCGGACGAGATGCGATGAGAAACGAGCTCTGTTAATTTATTCTCTCCAAGGACAACATTGACTTTTTATCGAATTTACTGGATTATTTTTGATGACTCTTTGCGCAATACCTTCGGGGCACTTGGTTTTACAAAAGTCACACAACGCGATAGAAAATGTACTTTGATAGGAATTTCCTGAACGTATTCCAGATTTGCGATGTGGATGGAAAAAAAGAGCAGCAAAAAGTACGTATTCAATCGAATTGGTTCTTGATAATAGTCAAAAGTCATTCGTTTACAATTTTTAATCTTCTTCCCCGTCATTGAAACATAACGTACAAAAAATTGCTGTTTGAATCGTAAAGTTTAAATCAAATTCCGACCAAACAATGAATTAAGAGCGAACACAAAATTAACGATCCCAAATAACGAAAGTTCAATCAAATTTACTTCTTGTCTCGGTAAAAGTATAAGATATGCTAGCTACGAATTGTTTTTCCCCGATGAAACAGCAAAAATCTGAACATATACGACTCTTCTCGAATTTCGTGGTCGCGTGCCAATATCCATAATGTATACGGAGACGGCAGAAGAAGGATATGGTTACGTTGTATAATATATATTNTTTTTTTGCGTCCGTCTCATTATTGCCATGCTACGAAGCAGCGCGCATGAATCGATGTATTATCGTCATTAGGAATTTTTCAATTAAATTTTTCCTACCGAAAAGCAGGCTCTTAAAAATACTCTATTTTTTAAATCATATCCATTCGAACGCATCATATCCACCACGATATCCACCATGTAACTTAAAAATGAGTATGTTTGAATATGCGTGTTTAGAAAATATATATATATATATATATATATATATATGCTCACCTGACCCGTGGCTAGGAGAATTGGCTTGGCTCCATGGCAACGTACATCCTCGTCGGTTGGCTTGGCCAAAAAGTTACGAACGGCGTTCCAGAACGGATTCGACGTGGTCGTGCCCTGCTCGAAAGCAAACGAGCCCGGACCGTCTGTCGTTCCGGCTGCGAAGCTGTAGCCCATGGCTGGTGAGCACCCGGTCACCTGCAGCATTCATTATGAGTGGTTATGCTTGTTAGATTGTTGATTGGATTTTCTTTAAACGGTGTGTTGGATTTTCATTAAAATTTAAGACAAAACTGCCAATGTTTTACTATGAAATGCCCGAAAGTTTCATACTCATACAAAATTGAGCGTCTAAATTAGCTAAGGTGGATTAATGATTGACAAGCTCATTTCTGAATATGATCTATTGACGCTTGAGAATACAAAATCTTTGAGTAAGTTCGTCGAGGAAAAAAATGCCTCTGCTCGTGAGTGGCTCGAATAACAATGGATTTTTTAATCTTTTGAATCCTCAATTTCCTCCTCGAAATTACAAGGAATCGGTTTTTCGATACAACAAGTTATATGATTAGTACCTTACAGTACCTATCTTTACCTTCAAATTTATATTTGTTGGACTGTCAGTGACATTGATTGATTGGCATGAGAAGTTTTCGATGTGTTCAGTGTTAAATGTAATGAAACGAAATCTACATTTTTTTTGTTTACCATTTATTTACCAACTTTGACTTGTATAAAAATCAGCTCAAGTTTTCGTTAAGTAAGATGTCTATCTCAATGAGTGTATTTTATGTGTGACTATAAAATTTAATTTAAAAAAATACTCCTTGAGTGGCATATTTCCATTTCCATCTTCAAAAAAACATGTGTATTCTAACATTGTCTTACCTTAAACTTACGATATTTCTTGAATAATCGCGAGTTAAAGGTAAAATCGACGAAATATTACAATGATTTATCGAATGCAACATACATATTAACGGACTATAATCCACCAACTAGGAAAACATACTGCAAAAACTAACGATATCAACGATAAGATTAGCCGACAGCGGGAGAGCGTATCGAAGTTGTAGGAAAGCGAAAGGGCGCTTAAAGCGGATCTGCTATTATTTTGCGAAAGAGAATTGTAGGAGAGAGGGAGAGATCACGTCCCCTGATATCCACTTCGAGACAGTGATCATAATGAAAAGCTGATCGGCCGAGAAAATATGTATTGTTGAACTTAGCGTTCCCCTCTATTTTTTTTTCTTTTTCTTTTTTATTTTTTTTTTTTTTTTTATTTTACTTTCGAACGGAAACGGCACTGTAATACAAACAATGTCGAGAACGTGACGCAACGAGCCTTGGATCTCGGGTAGATGGTCGGGGCGAGTGGGTATGCACGATTCGATCGAGGGAAAATCGTGTTTTACGTAAATGAATCAGCTGAAAGTCCACGCGAATGGTATGAATAATTGCTCGGGAGACATGCAACGTCGATTTTTGTCTTACCTATTGATACTAGTACCTCCCCCGGGATAATTGGATGAGGGTGGATGTTGAATAATTAATGGCTACACTCACTCGGGTCAAAGTGACAGGGACTCGAGAACGTGTGGACTTTTCGAAGGGCTGATTGTGAAAGTGTGACTGTGTGTGGAGTGTGCGTTTTATTGCGATCGATGTGCTCGATACGTGTACTCGACCTATTAGAGTGTTATTGAGAATCGGAAAGTTGATCTTGAAACGATATTGGAACGATGCTTGTTAAATCACATTATTGGTGCATAGAAGAAAGAATTTTTTTTGTATAGTGCTATGGTTTTTTTGGGGATTTATTTGTGATAAACACATAACTTATGATAGGATTTTAAAAAATTTCATTTTTGGTTTTCTAAAAACATTTCATTCCCATATCTTTGATGAATTTTCAGTAATGAAGATCACAAATATGAGCTTTGGAGTTGAGACAGTGACTAATTTCAGCTGAGCTTATTCCACGGTTCTCGTCTAAATTTTTAATTCATCTGAAAAATTTTCAACCAGAATTTTTCCTAGTAATGCTCATCTTAAAAGTCTCTAAACTACCAACGCAAATAGTTCTGCATGCAATCTTTGGGCAAACCAAAACTAATTTGGGTAATCAAGGCCAACATGATTCATTACTCAAAAAAAAATGCAAATAATTCAACGTTTGCGAAATCCTTAAAGCATCCAAGCAACAATTGGCGTCACAGTAACTCTCCAACCATACAACATCCATTCCCAGAATTCTCAAATATTTTGCAACATCTTCGTTGGCGGTGAGAAACTTTTGTCTCGGGACGTTAACCATAGGAAGACAAAAACGGAAACAGATATGGAAGAAACAAGTGAAGTATGTAAAAAAAAAAAAAAAGAAAAAGAAAAAAAGCTAACAATACTGAACCATCATACCAAATCGTCTCTCTCATTATAGATAGGAATTTTTGCAAACAATCACGCTATTAGTATAATAGAGATCAGCCAAATTTACTTTTTTTGATGTCAACTCCGTATACTTTTTGTATTTCGACAGCCAGCGTTATAACTCAAGCATACAACTCCACGACTGTATGATGAGAAATAGTTGTTTACACTGGTTGAAATAAAAAAAATAAAAAAAAAATTGAACAGAAAATTTATGAAGAAAGTAATTACGTACCGTCTCGACTTCGCCTGAAGTCTCGTTATAAAAGGTGGCATTTTGATTGGGCATGTCGACAAAGCGGTGAACCACACGCACCGGCCCGACCACCTCTTTGCCAGTGCCGCTTTTCCACAGATTCTAAAACACAAAATTTACAGAGCACTCAATGGTATGTATGTTGATAGTCTTGCTTATTAATGTGCTCTCATTAGAAGGTCGTTTGAAAGGGGTTATTATATCCTCGTTTTTGAAATTAAATAGGAGCAAAAATGAAGGACATTCTTTATACCTGTACAAGTAAATTTTAAAGTTCTCACTAAGCCTGAAAATTGAATTAAGCTACTAAAGATTTTTATTGAAACCTTTGTACAGCGCAATGAAAAAAGACTGCTGCACAATAGGACTTGTTTACACTAGATAAAAAAAAATTAATTTAGTACATCAAATTTACAAAGTAAAATTCAGTAAGTAAACAAAAATATTCTACGTTTTGGCAAGACCTTAATACAATACTTTCTTAATTGACTATTTTAAGGGAAACAAGTACATAATACAGTTACATGTAGTACATATTTCCAGAAAAATCGGGGCAAGCGATTCATTTCAGTGTGATTTCGTACGGGGATTACTTTTCGCATATCTAGTGCACAGCTACTTATTCACAATTCATCTGCATCTCCACGCGTGATATTTCATGCACGAGTCGTACCCTTATTTTTTTACACATCCATCAATCCTCATCTTTCTTCACCCCTAGACGCAGTTTCATATTTTCCTCCACTTTGTATGCATTCATCGAGTTTTCCCTTTAGTTCGAAATGAAACGCATCTACCGCTGCGAGCCTTATGAATATTTAAACGAGTGAGATGAATAATTGAGTATACTGTTCTATCCGACTTGGAAAAGCCACTTTATACTACGTGGTTGTCGATGTGCTGGGACCCCCCTTTTCCTCTGTTTTTCATACTCCTCTGGTACTCTTCCAGGTTTGCGTATTCCTTTCCACGTGGAAGAATTATATGAGTGCGATGACTTTCCTTCATTATTAATTGGAAAACAAACTTGCTCTACTACGTCTTTTTTTCAATGCCTCAGTACGAAAGTTTTGTTCTGTCGCTATTATACTGGATTTAAGAAACAAACAAGTTTAATGTTTGTTTCAGGATGATCTATCTCTTTAAAAAGCGTCAGTTTTGAATAATAATTAACAATAATGAAATGCTTGGAGAAATCCAATAAAAAACAAAGTAACGTAACACTAACATGAATTGATACTTGATTTTTTCAAAAAGAATTTTGTCATTATATTATTAAAGTTACTTGATTAATGCAGTTTAAATAAGAAAAATTCATTGAATGATGAAACATTATGTTGCTATTTCCATTCGAACGCATCATATCCACCACGATATCCACCATGTAACTTAAAAATGAGTATGTTTGAATATGCGTGTTTAGAAATTTTACGTGAGAACAAACAAATACCAAGTGAGCGTGTGTTTTCAGTACGTACGATAATCGTTGCAAAACCTTACTGTTTCACATTGATGCGATGCATAATTAGGTTGTATATACATACACATATATATATTTAACACTTGTATAGTGCTTCTGTACACGTTCATCCAAGTCACTTCTTCTTAAGTGAAGGTGTAGTTTATTCTCGGTAGAAATTTGCAGTTCTTTAAGTGATCATAAAATCACATACGTGCCGATGTTTGTCATTACATCTAACACATAACAGCTACCGATCGTAAACATTATATATATATATATTTTTTTTTTTATCGTTTCTTGCTCAGTAATGAAGCCTACACCACATCAACAATTTATTTTAACGACAGGTCGTAAGACCTCTTTTTTCTTAACAACCTGTATTATTATTGTTATGATCTAAAAAAAATCTTGCAACCATCGTATGAAATAGATACTGTCTTAGGACAAGGTAGAAAAAAAAGCGAGTAAACGATTGGTACTTAAAGTAGTAGGCGCACATGCCTGACATTATTCACGTGAACGCACAAACAGTACTCCGCCTCATGTGCATATCTGTTGCGTAAACATATTGTAGAGGGCTCCCTCCGTGATCATCATTCGTCATGTTTCCTCTTTGACAGTTGCTTGTCGTTGCTACTGAACCATGGACAGCCAGAATATTGGCAATGCAAACGGTTTACGCTTGGTAAATTAGCGATGTGAAAGTAGTGTACATAAACGTACACGATTGTGGCAAACAAATGATTGAAGTTACTAATGCAAGCATGCATATTTCAACGGCATAGCTCGGCACGCTGGGTTCTTTAATTTTTTTTCTGTATCCCCAAGGGTGTTTGCGTTACGATAATATATTACACAAGAGTATCGCTTAAGTCACAAATGATCGGGTATCCTATTGGTTAATTTTTCCTTGTTTTGGGTTGGTACGAGAAAAATCTTGCGTCGTACCTGATACCTGTGACTACTCGACTACCCTCGTATTCACACGAGCAGCCGGGGTGAATTTTTGCAATGTGCATGGACGTATCCCTATTTTTGTTCGACACTGACAATGTCTTATTTTAAATCTGTTTCACACTTTCACGTGAAACAGAAAAAAAGTTTAAAAAGTCTGTTACTATGAAAAAAATTGCTCATTGTTGGAAATATCATTCTTGCTTCTTATTATGTAGGATTTCTGGATAAAGAGAAAACTATTACCCGCAGGTGAGTGTGAAAAATTTTGGGCTAGTTTCAATTAGGTACTAAGAAATTATACCTTAAATTAATGGTGTAGATTTTTTCATGTAAGGTACACATGATTGACACACAATGCTCGACTCATCAGTTTTACGAATGTACATTTTACCACCCTGTTTGTCTTTTTTATTGATTAGAGAATCGTTAATTCTTGTAGTCCTTTCTTCCTTTTATCACGAGAAAATGTTACCCTTGGTGCTATTATTCAAGTTTAATTGTAATCTTAGACCCACGTAGTCATGATTTAAATAAAACAGTGCAGAGTGAGCGAAAAGTGGCTGTGGGGTAAGATTAATCGTCTAGTACGAAAAAGGAGGGTGCGAAGAAAAGAAAAAGACAGTGATTAAAAACGAGCCACTTGAGTCGGTTCCCACAGATTTGCTGCCGTCAAAACCAATATACGCAGAATGTGTAGTGGGTGAAGCGAAATACCAAAGAAATCCAGAAGAGAACGAGCCAAGCGTTGTTTGAGCCTGTGTGTGGTCACGGAACGGGTGAGGTCACATGTATAAAACGAATGAGTGCAGATCAAAGAACGGACTTCAAAGCGGTGAAAGCGAGGAAGTAACAAAGGGAGGGATTAGTTCAGGAATACGATCATCAGGGAAAGCTAATTCCAATACCTTGTCTTTACCTCTTGTCACCTATTCAGTTGTCAATTTGCAACTGTAGTTCTTCTGTATCTTTTGAGACTTGTACAAAAAACTTACAAATCACGGGAAAGAATGGGAAAATGAATCACTTTTGCTACCAAAGGTAACTTTTTTGATACATCCTTATAACGTATCAACACTGTTGGTGCAAATGTTTTTTTTTTTAATCCTAGTTAGCAATATAACAGCGCAATGCTGCACCAAAGCAAAAGGGCGAGTCACGTAAGAGTTTGACATCGATTATTTATTATCTTCTCTTATCAGCGATAGAGTTTGTGTATGCACAAAGATGTATCGTTTGACCTTATTTATCTTACTGATCATCAGATGCACCAGAAAACTCAATAAGGATTGAATTACTAGGAGATAAAGGTAGTAGTAAAAAATACATTAAAATAAAGCGTTTCGCACGTACGGACTGGTAGAAGCCGTAAAAATATTTTCGAACACGTGAAGTTGTAAAATAAAAATGTTTCCATCTGATTTTTTTTCTGATTATTGTGGTTTGTGTACTATGAAAATTGTAGATAAACGGATGATGCGAGTTGGCAGAAAAAAATTTTAATGGTTCAACAAGATTTACGCGCCCTCTTTGATATCTAGTAGCAGTTCTGGCTCGATGGAGAAAAGCAAAAATCTGTCAAGGCCAATACAATTAAAAAGTGTCTGATCACTTTCATCAAATAGCACCTTAATCATTCTTGTCTTGGAAATTTACTGTAGAGGATAAGCCGTAAAAAATCATCCGAATACACGGTAAACTGAAAACATCGATCAATTCTCTGGCACCCATTTTATAAAATTACACTTCACCCGTAATTCATGACGAACTTTATTATTCATGAATTATCTTCTTTCTAATGGTTTCGCAATTTGTTCATGCATGCGCGCAAAAATATGAAAAATTTTTTTGCGTCCGTCTCATTATTGCCATGCTACGAAGCAGCGCGCATGAATCGATGTATTATCGTCATTAGGAATTTTTCAATTAAATTTTTCCTACCGAAAAGCAGGCTCTTAAAAATACTCTATTTTTTAAATCATAAATTAAATAATTTATTTTAAAAAAGTGTAATCCATCACGTTAATGCAAAATGTACACGAGAATTTTCCAGTCACACAAGTGTACAGCTTAACTTTACCCAAAATCCTCAAAACCTGTGGACGACACATCGATTAACATGTACGCCCGCGTGACAGTTTTCGCAAGCTCGGCAAGCACACACAGTCACAAGTGTTACCTAGTGCTAGAAATTATCAAGTGACAGCACGCGCGTGCCAGTGTTTAGGTACTCGCGTTGACCAGACACCGGAAGTAGAAAAGTGATTCCATACGTGCTGCGTGCGGCCACACCGAACACCATCCTACTCTCTTTTTTTACGTAAACGCGTGTACACATTGTAAATTCAGAAGCATTACGCGGGTGAGGACGACAACTGCCCGCTTTCCTGGCTAGACGTGCTGGTAGGCCCTGCCGTAGTTCATGTATGTTCAGGTGAGCACTGTGCATGGTGAAGGAGCACGTACGCGGAAAAGCTGTTTTATAAGCGCTAAGCAGATGTTACTGGCGCTAGGATGTAAAAGAAGTGTACGTTTTACACGTGTGAGCATGTGACGATTTGTTTTTCTCGCCCCTGCCTACTTTTCTTTTGTGTCACTTTAAAATAGTATTAGAGACCGAAGAAACACTTGCTACAGCTATGACTGTTTGGCTCGTTGGTCTGTCTTGTATAATTTCTTTACGTCA